CCCCAAAACCCCAAAACCCCAAAACCCCAAAACCCCAAAACCCCATGCAAGAAGGAATTAGTTGATATTTTATAAAATTATTACTTTGAATCACAGCAAGTATGATCACCCCAAGAATTAAGAAGGTAAGCTACCCTAAAGCATTTCCATGCTTCTGCATGATTGAACGTATTTTGTGTTGGTAACCGCCTGTAATCGTGAAGTTTTGTGATTCTGCCAATTCAAGCCCATTTTAGCTAAGATGTGCTTCCGAATATTCTTGACAGAAATCTAATCTGGATTTGTATAGGAAACAGAAAGACTCTCCACCGACCCAAGTATGTGAATTATCTATAGCTTTTGTTTGTGATAATGCCCTGCCTCTAACAAGTCGTATAGTTGTCGGAATTTACGCCACTCCAGATGAGACCAACTTCAGACACTTCCATGTGCAGATCTCGGGTCCCGCAGATACTCCCTACAATGGAGGACTGTTCAAGGCCGAGCTGTTCTTGCCAGACGAGTACCCAATGGTGCCTCCAAAGGTGTTGTTCAGGACCAAAATCTTCCACCCCAATATTGACAAGCTAGGTGCGCATCCTTCGTCCTTCGTTGTTTTGTATTTCTGTTTCGTTGTTAGCCATGTTTGGGAGTCTCATACTTGTAATTAGGCAGAATTTGCTTGGATATCCTGAAGAAGAACTGGTCCCCAGCCTTGCAGATCAGAGCCGTCTTGGTCTCCATCCAGAGTTTGTTGAGTGACGCTAACCTTGACGACCCACTCGACGAAGAAGTCGCCGAGTTGTTCAAAACCGACCCAGAAGCCGCTGAAGAGAAAGGTAAGTGCATGCTCCTGAGTTTAATTAGCAAGACAATGGACTCTCGACTACGCCAACGAATAAGAGGCAGGATCGGAAAGAATTTGCGAATAACATTCTTGAATAAATCGTTCCATCGGGTTGGGTCTGGGAACTTGGGGTCTACTTCAAAGCAGAAAGTTTTTGTTTCAGTTTGGTCTCAATATTAATGGAGAAAAAAGGGGTTTTGGGGTTTTGGGGTTTTGGGGTTTTGGGG